TGTAGTGTGTCATCTGATTATTCGCATGTAATGCTAAAATCTGTAAATATTCCTCCATCCGTCATTTTTATTGTAAGTTTAACAGCAAGATTGTCTGCAGCCTTACTGTTTTGAACAATGCCCTGCATCTTCTTCCAGACTCAGAACGGCAGGTTGCCAAAGTAACGCGGCACATGAATCAAAGCTCCAGAAAGCGTCTGTGGATCCGGCTGTGATGAGATCTGGACTCTGGAAGAACATTCAGGATCAGAACTGCAGTGGCTTTGGATCAGAAGCAGAGAGAGCAGAGACAGCAGCAGATCACTCACCTTTCCATCGTGACTGGAAACTCCTGCAGAACAAACACACCATTGATCATCAAGAACTCAATCAATCATCAATCAATCAATTAATGGATGATCTGAAATCAGACCTTCAGAAAGCAGACGTCACTGGCTTTCATCATCTCCTCCGTGTCTTTGATTGTGTGTGAAAGAGCTGAGATGTGTCTGTTCATCTCCTCCAGCTTCTCCTTCATCATCTGCTTCTTCTGCTCCTCTTCCTCTCTCAGTGCAGTGATTGTAGCTTCTTCTTCATCTCTGAGAAACTGATGAAGCTTCTCAAACTGCTGTTTAATCTGACGCTCTGTTTGCTCAGCTTGAGACTGAAATCAAATTGCAAATTTACAGAAACAATCAACTGGAATCCATTATATTAAATATAACAAATCATAATTGTGTTTAGTGATGCTACAGCTGTACTGAAAATGACTCTTGATTCTGTTTCCTCACCTTGATGTGTTGAACTGTTTTCTCAAACTCTTCTTTCATGCTTTCATTGTGTTGAAGTTTCTCCTGTAAGGACTTCAGTGCTGTATTGAGCTCCTCCTAGAATTGAATAAAAATATATAAAACACTAGATTACAGTGAAGAGAAGAGAATACAGTGCTCTTTGTGTTTGTGTTTGTGTGTGTGTGTGTGTATCTCACACTAAATTGATTCAGCAATTAAAACCTAACATAAAGAAAAAGCAACTTGAGTAAATACAAAATAGACTTAAATCAAACTTTTTCAACAGCATGAAGTTGTTTAAAAGGTCTTACCCAGTGACTACACTTTAGTATGACACTATTTAGTGTACACAAAACAGAAGAAATCAGTATGGGGCAAATACTTTTTTCACAGCTGAGTATATCTCATATGCAGTTGAATAAAATGACAGAGACCTATACCTACCTTATATGATGAAACCACTTCACTTATTGGTCTGAATTTGTGATTGTCGTGTTGTTCTGAAGTAAAGCACACTAAACACAGAGGTTGTTTGTCTTCCAGACAGACGAGTTTGAGTTTCTCACTGTGTAAACTGCAGATCTCCTCAGATCCTGATGAACGGCTCTCATTTCTCTCCTTCAGGAACGACTCACACAAGTTTTTTAACGCAAGATTTATTGGAGGACGATCTTTTGAGGATCTTCTCCTGCAGACGGGACACTCCTGAGTTTTCTTGGTTCTCCAGAACTGTTGAAGACACTCTTTACAGACACTGTGACTACATGATAAAAGAACAGGAGTCTTGAAGATTTCACAGCACACGGGACAAGAAAGCTCTTCTACAGATAATGAAGCCATTTCCACTGTTTGAGCTCCAGCAACCTAAACTTTACTTTCACTTTCTACTTTAAAAAATAAATAAACCTCGAGAATCACAAAGATCTGCTGTCTGTTCAGAAATAAACTTCTTCAAAGTTTTTCTCTTCGTTGTCCACTGATGGCTGATTCTTGTTAGCTTTTGTCAAAGAGAAGAAAATCAGTGTGACAGAAAGGAGAAATAACAAGTCAGTCTCTTCCTGGTAAGTGTTGTAAGAGGGTGGAGTTTCTGATCACCTTGGTGTGTTTAACCCTTTAACATTCAACACTAAAAGAAGCCAATGCTTATTTATTTACTTACTATATATATATATATATATATATATAGGAATACGACACCTATCTAAGCATTCATATATAAGGTCCCTCAGTATTATCAGCAGTTTTCGTATTGCTCAATAGCTAATTAAATGGCGAATTCAGCAGGCAGAACACCATCATCACTAGGAATCGGGAATTTAGAGAAGTGGAATTCGTTTCCCCAATGGTCTCACCTCCAATCCATTCAAGTTCATTAACCTGAACACTGAATTCACCGCATTGATCATAAGCTGCCTGATTTGGAAGTGACTGAGTTAGCATTATTTCACGCATCAAACAATATCTCACATTCAGCTCTGTGTGTCTGTTCAGTCCTGAAGCACATGACAGTTTCAAACAGCAGCATTGAGCATCAACATGCATAAATCTCATTCTATCAGCAGCAGTTTGTGGCAATGCTTGTGTAACCCCACTTTTCTGGTTCTTTCTTTCGACCCTTCCGGAAAGGACAACACGGAGACGTAGGCTGAGCTCACTCATCGCATTTACTGGAATATATGAAATGACACCAAACAGACATGAAATACAGCTCATCCGGTCTCATAACATTCTCCTCAACGGCTTTCATGCGACTCATTTACCAGTTCAACAAACAATAAATCAGTTTTTTCCATAATTAAGAGCTCAATTTCTTTTGTTTTCTGAACATAGAAAATATAACATCATAAGAACATTAGTACATCATACCTGGAATATATGAAATGACACCAAACAGACATGAAATACAGCTCATCCGGTCTCATAACTGTCAAAAATAAATATACATGTGAAAATAAGCAACGAGAAAATACAGAGACAGAAACACAACGAATACCATGTGCTCCTAATGCACTCAACAGTGCGTTCAGAATAAAACATCAATTGTCCGTCAACTCTATATCTCTTATGACTCAAATATGAAATAAAATACTTTTAAAATAACAATTTTGACCTTAAAGAGAAATAAAATCATCTCTGAAAACATTTTATTTTTGTTCGACCGGAGAGAGATTTTACACCTACCATTCTCCTCAGCGGCTTTCATGCGACTGAGGAGAAAATGGCCAATTCCACTGATAGGTTACCTTAGTCACCTGTAGGTGTCCCCATATCCCTTTCTTTTAGATGCACTTAATACATTCTATTCAATTAATATCTTAGAATTATATTACATTTTGAATAAATTTTATTTCATTTTAATTATTTAAAATTCTTATTATTGGACACATAAAAACATTTTTTATTTATGTTTTTATCTAAACGATATAAAACTCTACTGTACGGATGAGATGTCCGTTTATCGTAAAACTTGCTTTACATGTGCAGTACTGTTTCATGCGTTTTATTTATTTCTTTATTTTGAATAATAAACATACCTGCAACATTGTTAGTAGGTCTTAGATAACCTCCATTATTATCATCCACATGAAATAACATGTATTAAAAAGGAGTGTTTAGAAATGAATTATACATATACTGTATATTGGTATATTGTAGTCAATATAATGTCCATTTCAGTTAATTCATATAATTTTTGATAAATTCAGCTAATTTCAGTTAATTCAGCAATTAAAAACATTTTAGGCAATATTAAACCATTTTTATAACAGGAATATTGCAAGCTTTATAAAATATCTTCCTCCATGAATTACATTTTAGTCGTTTTCAAACCAGAATGTTTCTACATTCTAAGAAGAACTTAGTTTGTGACCAATAAAAAAGTATATGTCCTATAATAGTATGGATTCAATCCAGACATGCTGCTTCTGTCATGTTGGCATTTTCATGTGACCTACAATGTAACTTGTTTTGCTTCCACTTCATTTATGAATCCTCTCCCAAGGCCTCATTGGAAAGTAAATTGTCCTTTGTATGCATACTTCAAAATACTGCAGGTAGTAGTATGTCATCCAGGTAATTTTCGACTCCTATAAAATACTATGAATACTTATGAATACTGTGAACTCAGACATACAGTACTAATGTAGCCTATCTTTTTTGCTTGTTTGTCTATTACATAGTAGGGAAGTGGAAATATTTAGACATGGAGACTGGCACAATTCTGATATATAACACCCACTTTTCATTACCCAATCAGTTCCTTTCCACTACAATAAGAAAAATAAAATACTGCATGAATGCATGTGTGAGTAACATTTATGAAATTATATTTTAAATCCCATTAATGTTTTGAGTATGTCTGTTTGAGGAAAAAAATCTAATATTCTCATGGACATCCTCATAATCCACTCTCAGATGCCCTTATTATTGTCACACTTCAGTCTGTGCTTCCATCCGACTATTTTCACCCTTCACAGACATATCAACTGTATGTGTTTCTGTATTTCTCTTATATTTTGCCATATTTCTGTTGTTTAGACTCTACCCAACTAAATACAACATTATGATTTAATTCCCTATTTAACTGATTTCTTGTTTGACGCTATTATTTGGTGGCTGATCAGCATCTCTGTTCTTTTGTCTGACTGACTGAAGTGTATAAACTGATGCTGTCACCTGAAAACTCCCATCCTTTCATGCCAAAAGCAGACGGGGAGTGGGGCAGTACAGCTGTGGAAGATTTTTTGTCACATTTCCTTCTTTTGACAGATTTTTCACACTCAAAACAAGGTCACATTTTTGTCAAAAGAGTCAAAACTGAGAATGTGGTGGAAGAAACCGATAATATCTCTTTATTGTCTTGCTGAAAACTCTATCAAGACTCCATTATAGGAATATTTTATTGCTCAGTGGTTGCTCCTTCTAAGCTCAGGAGACTTAGTTGTGATTTTCATGTATTTCTCATTTTAGTATTGTCACATGAACTGCTCCGAGATTTATAAGTTGCAGATCCAAGTGCAGCGTTTATTGAAAACAGGACAAAATCCAAGTACACGGTCCAAGAACAGGCAGAAGGTCAAAATCAGTAAATCCAAAAGAAACAATTCCCGAGGGCAAGGCGAAAGGATAATCCACAAAACAGGCAAGAGATTAAAAAACCATGAAACATAAGTCAAAGTCAAAGTCAAAGTCTGCTTTATTGTCAATTTTTCCACATGTACAGTACATACATACAGAGAATTGAAATTGCGTTACTCTCAGACCCTTGGTGCATACAGATAACACTAACAGTAGAGCATAAAAATACAGATAGATACAGATTAAATATAAAATACAACTATACAAATACATAATAAGGACATGTAAAAAAATAAAAAGTTAAAAAAAGCAGCACAAGGCACATGGCAGATAGAGTGCAAACCAGTGAAGTAAACAAACAGTGCAGATAAAAAGATTGTAGTGCAAATAGCTTATTCAGTCTGATTAAAGTGACAAAAAGCTCAGAGAGCAGTTATTTATTTAAACTGACCGAAGAAGTAGTTGAATGAGGTCAGTTCAATGCTGAATGCTAAATGAGGTAGTGAGCAGACCAATGCTGCACAAGGTGACTGGTGCAGCTGACATTATCCCAAACAACAATGTAACGAGGCTGCTCTTGGCTGTGCTGGTTCCCTGATGTCCAGCTGGAACATATGCTCTCTTAGACCGTCAAGGAAAGCAAGGAGGAGCATAGTGTTATAGGGTCCTAGAATGGCTTGACGGTGGATTACCCCTCGTTGGCTGAATTGTGGAGAGGCTGAAGACATTTATCCCTCGAAAATGATGATTATCCTCAATCACTCTCCTTTGAATCTCTCGCAGGTGAATTACATTATTGGCAATGACCATGTCTACAAGCTCCCTCTCTTGCTCCTCCGACAAAAGCCTTAGCCTGCCTCCACCAGGTGGTCGTCTCTGTGTCCTACAACAGTGTATGCACTCTAAAGTTACTGTACAGAGCAGTCTTACTGTAAGTACACCTACTTGTTTTCCTCCCTGAATGTTCTGATGATGGAGGCGACGGTGAAGCGACTCAAATTTGGCTGTATTCGTTGCCCAGCCTCTCTCATAGTCATACCATGGACAAGGACATGGTCAACTAAAGTGGCTCGAATTTCATCTGAGACTGCTTGTCTCCTTGCCCTTCTTCTCCCTCCTCCTCCTCCTTCACCATGTCCTCTTCCTCTCCCTCTTCCTCCTCCTCTTCCTCCTCTCCCTCCTCCTCCTCCTCCTCTTCCTCTTCGACCTATTCCTTCATTTCTCTGTGGATCCATTGTTCCAAAGCTCAGTGAACTGATTCGGGCCCTTTTATCTATTTATTGAAGGATCTGATTGATGTGTGTTCAATTTTGACTCTTAGTGTTTCCACCTTGGTAATTGTTTGCTAATTGAGCTCAAGCTGTGCTGACTTGAGTGAACAGTATTGAATGCTAGTGCTTTCTAAATGACCACATGGTGTGAGCACTGAGAAATGTAGGGATTTGTGTGTAGAGTTTTGCAGTAACAGTTCACCAAATCTGACTCATGTGTTAAAGCAGAGGAATAGTGTTTATAGTTCGTGCTTTTTGAAAAATGGCGTTATGGTTTTGAAATTTTAGTTCAAACGCCTGGTTATAGTGTTTTAGCAATCAAGAAAAACTGTAATTATCATAAACTCCACCAGGGGTGAGCAGTGTTTGCAGACCACAACAGCATCGCGGCACCACGCATCATTGATGTAAACACAAAGCCCTCCGCCGCGGG